TTCATGGAAAGATTTGTATTATCTTTTAATTCCATTTTTCCACAAACTTTTTGAAGTACCCGCATATATAATACACAGAATTATAGGTTGTTTGAAAGGCAGACTGGAAAATTAAGGGCCTTCTGGATTGACATTTCAATGATCATTCTAACTAGTTTATTGATTATTATAGTAATAATATACTGTGTTCTTGTTCAAAAGTTATATTTTGCAATAGAAAAGGAGGGGGATTTATAAAAGTCTCTTAGAAGATTTTTTTCTTTCATTTTGGATCAAATTATACCAACAATAGAGTTTGGAAATTTTTATGGCCTATGATGTTCTAAGTTTCAGAATGAAAAGATCTCTAACAATCTGAATAACTGTGGACACATACAGTAGAGAGAAGTATTTAAATTATCTTGCAGAACAATACAGAAGGGTCCTAAATCACATTAACTCAAACATTGTAGACTAGCTTTATGTTTATTCGTTAGGTCCTTGTGCCTTATTTGGTTTTGTGTATTCAATGGAAATGGACTGAAATATTTGGAATTCCTATTTCTACATATTTGGTGGTCCGCAAGACCTTGTCAATTATAAACCTAGAGTTTGATGTGCTTTGAAACACTTAGTTCAGGAGGATGATTTCTCTTTCTTCTTTTAAATATTTTGAAAATTAAAGTCTTTTGAGGTACGTAAAGTTGGTACCCTGTGTCATCTAGAGTCCTTACTATTCAGGGTGAAAATGTTTATGCTAAACTGTTACTTCTCATTTTTCTCTCTCATTTTTTCCTCCCTTTTGTAGGTTCATTATTAAGAATACCCCTTTCGGAAAAAGGGTGGGTCTGTATAATAAATTATTTTGAAAAGGGATACAGAGAGACCACTGTTATTTGCCTAAGGGTATACTGGATTGGACCCTGGTCTGCAGGACAACTAAGTCTCACCCATGATGACAGAGGTCCCATATATCTCTTTACTTGTCACCTTTGGAATTATGCATGCTTATGTTGAAAGGATTCTGTGTAGCCATTTCTTTATTTCAGAAAGTTAGATTGCTTTGTGTGGAAATAAAAGGTATTATTAAAATTTGTTTTAAAATGGTGAGAATGAATATCTTTACTAATGGGATCAAATTTGATTAGAGTTTTAAAGAAATGATAAGATTCTTAGCAAAATAATTTTTTTTTTCTTGTTAAGTATCTGACTTGACCTCTGGTCCAACATTAGTAGCACAGATGAAATTTCTTTTGGCCTTCACTATGTTCTTAGGCTAAAATATATTCTACTTAGCTATAAATTGTTTCTATATAAAGGAAGAAATAACTACTAAAATGGAGTATCAGGGCCAATACAAGTGATAATTCAACTTGAGTGGTTGCCTGAGATGTTGAGGTTTTGGGGTGAGAATCAACAGAAATAGACCCCAGGAGTAGAGTGGCCTCAGATCTGAATCCAATCCTACCCTCTCTTCCCATTGTCCTGACCTTTGAGGATTGGTACAGTAGAAATTGACATAAAATGAAAAAATCACTTGGCCCTAATTCTTGTAAACATCAAATTTTAACTTAAAAGATACCAAGAATAGACATAGAACTGTACATTTATGTGAAGTAGGAGGGTATATTTCATGAAAAAGACATTGTGGCCCCTATTACCTGCCTGAATCTGGTTCTTGTTGAATCTCAGTGGTGAATCTAGGTAAATCATGTGCAAAATTTAGTAATGTTTAATAATTTTCAGGTTCTGCTGGTATTTAATTGGTCCTTGTTTTTCAGCTGTTTAGAAGATTTTTGCCTGTCTTTCTGAACATGATTTGAGGAATGATGAGGGGGCATAATAAAATTTAAAAAGTAAAATATGTTTGTTTCTATAGATGGTTTGCATATTTTTAATCCTTCACATTATTTACAGTCTGTAAGGTAGATAAAGGAGATTGAGTGACAGCATTTATTAAACCAGTACTAAAGTACTCTTGGTTTTTCTTTTTGCATATACCTATACACTTTTGCATATGTGTATAGTTCTTTTTTAGACCACCTACAAAAAGCACTCTCGATAAGTGGCCCCTGAATATTGGTTCTTTGTAGACTCTACTACTAAAGTGGAAGACATCTCAAAGAAATACGCTAGAAATTCCCAAAAGTGAAAGTAAGTTTAGGATGACAGTAATAGAGGTTTTCAAGAGGAAAAGGCAGTTATCAAAATTGATTTTGTATCACCTCTGTTATAAAATGAGGCTATTTTATAACCCAGTTCACTGTATCACCTACAGCTTTATGGCCTATAGAAAGAACTGCTCTTATGTAAAATATACGAATGGAGGGCTGTCTCCTGAGGCCAGATTCCCTGTCTATAAAATCTGAAATACTCCATCTACTA